CACGAGTCCGGCCACGTGTCGGCCACGTGTCCAGGTGGATGAGACCGGATGGAGGAAGATGCTGGGACAGGTGAAACAGCTGATGCGTTGGTTTCACTGTGTTTGATGCTCTTTACAGTGATGCCAAAGAGGAATGCTAGGAACAAAGGACGCTACTAAGTAGGGGCTCCTGGCATCGCTACTACGAACGGAGCGTTCGGACGCTTTCCGTGACACGTCATGTGACCTCGGAAGCCGATCTCGGACGATCCCCGAACCGTCGTCTCACCGTGGATCCCGGTCATCTCACAGCGGTGGTTTTCTCCGGTTGATCCGTTTGGTCTTCCTTTACAGGATCAACCGATCTTCCAAACTCAGAAGAAATGAGCTGATTGGGGCCGGATTCATGATTGCTCGGCGTTTGTCATTGTCTTCACACAAATTGGGAACGTTTCTCACTGCGCGGTTTAGGCACAATCTCTACCCCACCAAGCCACACGAAGGCCGCATCTCTTGGCCCTTGGGTAGCCCAACCTTCGATTGATGTCATGTCATTCTTCACCTCTCATTCTTCACCGAAACCTTCGATGTGCTCCGTCTCTCTGCTCCTTCGTTCCTCCCCAACGCTTTTCCACCCGCGGCGCCTGCATCTCCGCGGCTGAGAGCGCCTCGGCATCACGCGGTGCCCGGCGACGGGCGAGGCCAGATCGAATCGATCGAATCGATCGAATGGACGAGGTCGTTGGGCTCTCAGATCAACTGGGAAAATGGTTGAGGACATGCTTTTGGCAACTGGTTGAGGTTTTTGAAGTTGAAAGAACAAGATCCTGTTGAGGACTCTCTGGCGACGTCCCATTGCCACTCTGTGTGGCAAGTTGGGACGTGTCGGGCGGCTGCTTGAAGGAAGAACCCCGCGGCTGCAGCAGAGATGCATGTACATCTTTCTCCAAAGGTGGGGTATCCACGACTCTGTGGAAGAACACCCCCTCCCACTTACATGGAAGCTGAGTTGTAACCGCAGTAGTTTCAGACTCTTTTTCCAGAGGCCGTACTCCACTTGTGGGATGTCTAGGGAACAAAAAAAAGGCTGGGGGTGTTTGAACATGAGACTGAACTTCTCCACAGAAGAAGCATGAGAACTGCGGGACCCACGGACATTAAAAACGTGTTGTTTGCTTGAAAAACGTAAAACATATGAAGTTCTTGCTGAAGTTCTTCTAGGTTGGCCATTGCTACTAGGGTGGAGGCCTGCGCTCTTAGGTTGGAGGCCATCGCTACTAGAAACAAAGAAATGTTATTGTTACTGGGCGGCCGGCTTTCAAAGTCCGAGCTCTAGGGCTCTGCTTGGTTAGGCCCTGTGAGGTCCGGAGAAGGGGTCCAAAACCAAGGACTGGTCCAAAACCACTGTCTCTCCAGAACAAACAGTTCAGTGAAAGAGCGAACACTTCAGCTGGGGGGTGCCGAAGAAGCGGCCCTGAACTCTTCAGCTTTGACGGGGACCCAGAAAGCTCGATCTGTCTCTTACCACGACCTGTCGGTGTCCAGACCGCTACTCCAGACGTCCAGGAGTCCACCAGCAACGCGTTCTCCAAGTTGCTGCCGGGCACTTGAACAGGAACTTCACATCGACCTCCCGCGGTGAGCGGGTTTGACGGCTCCAAACAAGGGCTCCACACAAAAAAGGAAAATAGGTCTTTAAAAGCTCTTAGGTTCCCAATAGCAATGGCCTCTCCAACCTACTAGCGGCCTCCAACCTAATATAGCTTGAAAACAAAACGGGTGGTGATGGTTTACACAGCAAGTCGCTGATTGTCTTGGAACAATGTGATGTAAACAATGTAAGGAGCCTTATCCCCGGAGTGAAGATGAGCTGCTGATGACGAGTGGAAAAGTACATGCTCAAACCCTTGCTTTTTAGAAGCGTGTTTATCGTGCTTCTCAAGGGGCACAGGTCTTTGACTCAACAGCCGCTTTGACTCAACAGCACAACTTGTGTGCATTGATAAACACCACCAAAAGGTTGCACTGAAGGTCTTAGACTCTAATGACCAATCCTCACATACGTCCCTCACGACGTGCTCCATGCCATGCGTCTCATCCGTCCCACGTCCGTCCCACCCGTCCCGTCCCGCGGCACCACCTCCGAGTGGTTCGCCGGGTTCGGCACGAACTGCAAGTCGACCAGGTCCGCGGAGGTCAAACCGAAGCCCAAGAGCTCGGCCAGGCCCTCCTGGAAGGACACGAAGCCTTTCTGCTGCATGTCCTGAACCACGTTTGTGTGGCTGGTCGGTGTCGGTGCGGACGGTCGAGACGGAATCGATTCCGTCAAAAGGGGATGAGAAAGGAAACAGATCGAGTATCAGATAAAGAGATCAGCAAAAAAGAGTTAGCTTGAGGCATCAACGAACAGGAACATCGACTGCATCACCAGCCTTGATGGTGGCCTCATCGCAGCAATAGACCGAGGGATCGTAGCTCAAGGTGAAGTGGCCGTCCATGAGCATCGGCCCGGAATCGCCACCTGGGCTTCGATGCGACCGGTCGGTTCGGGGGGGATCCTTGTTTTCATGGCTTTCCTGCAGAGGTTTGCTTTGGTGATTCACGTCCCCCAAAATCCAAACACTACTAGGGCCAAAGGCCACTCTGGCCATCACTACTAGGTTGGAGGGCCACAGAAAGAAAGGGTGCCGTGTCTGTAAAAGGTACGTGAGTTCACCCATCCTCGCCCGCTCCGCTCGCACGCCACGGCGCCATCATAGGTCGATTCATAGACCATCTGCTGCGAGAGCTCTTCACCTGCAGCAGGGGTGATGTCATTTGATGGTTCTTTACTGCTTTCGCAGGAAAAAGAATGATGCATCTGGAAATTCCCTTCACGGTTTTTCGTGAGGGCATGGAACGAACATATGAAGGAATGCCCCCCCCAAGAAAGTCGCCGCAAAACATCAGCATGAGCATGAGGTTTTCAGTGAGCCTAAAGTTTCCCCCAAAAAGGGATCCTTCTTTCAAATCCTCACCATGTCCTTTGGACCCTCGACCAAGGGCGTCCCTCACCTCGAGTGCGACATCTGGGGACCAAAAAAACGCTCGGCGGCCGACGTGCACCGAGCTGATCTTGGTGCGCCGAGCGGCGTTTCCGTTGCAAGAGCACGTTGGAGGTGGCATGGCACGTTCCGCCTGCGACGAGCGGACCGACCGCACCGCGGCGTAACCCGCTGCGAAGGCATGGCCATTCCGCTGCGGAACCCGAGTGGCAAGTTAAGTGTGATCCAAATGAAGTTCTTCTTGTAGGTCCCCAAGGTCCTGGCTCACCAGAGTCAGAGTATCTACATCCTCTACATCCTCTACTTGTACAGGAAACAGGGAGGAAGTCCCATGTGGAGTGATCTCAACCACATGGCACCATGACCTCAACCCCGAAGGGAAGAAGATTGATCTTCACGGAAAGAACAAAACGACTTAGCAATCCACTAGAAATAAAAGAGCACTCAGGACTCAGGATGTGAGGAGATCCACTCAAGGTGCTTTGTTGAGTTTGGTCCTGCTGCAACCTGAGCATTGTCTCTGCCCGCGAAGTCCCAAGAACCTCCCCCTAGCAGAATTCCCCCCTGAAGCTGACTTCCACAACAAGCTTGCCAAGCACCTTCTTCACAGTCAGCATAAGATTCGATAAACAAGGCCAAGAATGGCAAAATCCTCGACACCATCCTCACAGCAGCTGCAGGCGGGTTGCGCACCAAACCAACCCAAATACCTTTTTGAAAGCAAGTATAGAGGTACCCCTACTAACTAGGAACAAGTGCCACGCTAGTAGTAACATGTGCCACGCTAGTAGTAACAAGTGCCTTACTAGTAGTAACAAGAAGCTATTAATTTAATCTAAATCTAATTTAATTCTACTATAGAAATGGTGTTTCAATGTCAGGTTTGTCTCATTTCTCTCATCTTCTCACCGTACCCGGCTAGCCGACCAAGTCACACGCTGGAGACCCCACGACGGGACCGGTCGAAACCCGAGAGGAGGATCAACCCGCCATGAAAATCCCACCCAAACGATTCGTGGCCTTCCAAAAAGAAAGATCGGACTTTTGAGTAGTCAGGGTAGTCCGTAAGTGTTGATTCTTTCGCCTGAAAAACAACCATGGCAGCATAGTAATTATTTGACATTCTTTGTATGAAACAGCAAAAACTGACAAAAAATTGGACACGGCCAATTCTGAAACAGTTTCTTCTATATCTGCTGTCGAGTTCATTTCACCATCCCTTTCGGTCCAAATCTGCTGTTGATGCAGGAGGGTCAATCGAAGCTCGCTCGCTATGCATTTGGGCGTCACTCCCTCCACCGTGGACAGGAAGACCATGCGAGGCCAGGAAAGGAACGGCAAAAAGGGAAAAACACTGCAACCCAAGAGATGTTCTACCTCCAAAAAAGGGGAAAGGATCCTTCCGCTGATCCAAGACCGAACCCACCGCCCCGAAAGAGACAGCTAGACCGAAGGAAAATCGCTCGTCCGAGCTGCGCGATGGACGAGGAAGCGGTGAATCCGGGAAGGTGAAGGGAGCTTTGAGCTTAAAACAAAGCACTGCGAGCACAGGCTTGGCTTGGCACTTCTCTTTTTTCGGCCGCTTGGCGTTGCTTTTTGTTCGGTATGTGCTCGGCCATCGCCAGTAGTTTTTCAGGCCATGGCTATATTAGGAACAAGAAAGCTTTCTAGTAACAAGGGTTTAGTCTGGGAGCACACAGAAACAGTGAGAAACTCGTCCACGGCATCCCATCGCGCTATGCGACCACCGGAATCTCCGATGTCGGTGACGTCTCGACCTGCGATCAGATCTGCGATCAGATGATCTGATGTTTCCGTTAAAAGCTGGGGGTCCATCATTGACTCCTTGGGCTGGAAAGAGTTGACTCCTTGGGCTGCATCATGCTGTGAGGGAAAAAACGGGGCGAAGATCCTTGCCACCAACATCAAGAAGGGCCAGGTAACTTGTTGGTTCTCATCGGGCAAGTGCTAAGATGTCACGTTGTTGACCATGAACCAACTCGACTAGTCCCAACTAGCTCCGAATTGAGTCCCAACTGGTGCAAAAAGGCCGATGCAGAGGTTTTGAGATCAAAGCCTCTTGGACACCTCCACGGCGATCCGAAAACACCAGCGACGAAGCCCAAGCCGTTCGATCGCCGCTCACAGCGCCCTTTTGGACGCGCCCTTTTGTGAGGCGCTGGGCGGCCGCAACGGAGCCTCATGGGCCTCAACAGGCAGTCGGAAGTGCCAGTTTCGCTCAAGGTGTGATTCAGTAGACCTGGTTCCTGCTGATGGAAAAAGAATGCTTGACCCGAGTTGGCACCCAAAAACGTTTAGTCTGGTCGGACGCCCGTGGAATATCTACCCCAAAGAGGCCTATCGAGCTGCAACCCGCCCAGGAGGGGCCCCCTTGGGACTGCTGACAATAGAGTCCGCAGGTGGAACCGGATCCTTTCCAAACGCTACTAGTGGCTACTTGTTCCTAGTAACACAGCCAGGAGCCCCTAGTAGCGTCCTTGCTCCTAGTAGCGATGCCAGGAGCCCCAGTAGCTCTTTCCAAATGCTTCTTTCCCAAAAAAGCGACGCTGCTTTCGCCGCCGAGCGGCGTGCGTTGGCGCGCGCGTGCTGCGCGAGCCGCAGCGTCTTCTTTGGCACGCCGGCAATCTTGGCCGCCAAGGCCACCGCCCGGCCTAGGACGAAATCGGAGCCCCAAAAGCAGAAAAGGCACCATCCGCATGGAGCAATACACCATAGTGATTAATTAGGTTGGAGGCCATCGCTGGATATATATTATTTCAGGTACAGCTTAGCACCGCAGCTAAAGACTCTCAGTCAGCTGAGCAAAGGAGCAAAGGAGCAAAGGAGCAAAGGCAAATGTAGTTCACTGCCATCAAGCACTACAATGACCCTTTGCTAACCACGTAGCTTCTTGCTCCTAGTAGTAAGGCCAGGAGCGCCCCGTTCGTCCCTCGCCGGCTTGGTGTAGCGGCTCTCAGGTAGCTCGGCACTCAGGATCCGGAGCACCTCGGGTGGCCGACGGATGAAATGTGGCAGTGGTTTTTCCCGTTTTCTTTTGTCAGGAACAAAAGGACGCTGCTAGTGGCTCCTGGCCTTTCTACTAGTACCAAGAATGCTACTATAGTAACAAAGGGCATCGCTACGAACGGAGCGATCGGACGCTACGAACGGGGCACTCCTGGCCTGACCACTAGAAGCAAGGTTCGCGGTGAATGGATAGTCAACCAAGGTCAGGTGAGTTCGTCATCGAAAGATCGGACGTCATCTCGACAATCCGATTCGAATCTCCCATTTTCGGAGAACCCAAGACGTCTCACCAGTTCTGGAATTCCTCGGCCGTGACCTGGTCTCCAAACATGGAATGGGTTGGGCCTTGGAATGGGTCGGCCGTGGTCGACCTTGGAGGAGGATTTCATGACAGTGGCCTGCTGGTATGGCCTGCTGGTTCCGGCCTACGCTTCTGCTGAAATACCGAGGCGCCGTGGAAATGGCGATGCAACCGGACGGTGAATGGAGACCAGTTCCGTGTCGGGTAAAGCAGGGTTTTTGCACCGATGGAAAGCGCACACCGAGGATGCCACCTTGTGTTTCTTTGACCAACGTCTCTCACTCAGTCTTCTTCCATTTAAACACTCACCAACGTCTCCGTCTCATCTTCTCTCGTCTCCACCCGTCGCCCGTGGCAAACCCGTCCTCGCCCGCGGAGGCGCCTCCATGGCATCCACGGCCGGACCGCGCTCGGACTCGGCGCGCCCGGCCACGAGGAGAACCACTTCGCCCTTCCTGGGCGCGGCGCGGTGCGGATGGGACGAGTTGATGGTCAAAGCGCATCCTCCAACTAGTAGTAGCACATAGCTACTAGTAGCTAAGGGCATCGCTACTAGGAACAAGGGCATCGCTATTAATAGCTAGAGGCTACTAATCCAAGAAAAACACTGAGATAGCTGTTTCGTTGATCTTTTGGCGGCGAAAGGAAGACCATCGGATTCAACAGTGAACTCCGCTGGAATCATCCCATATCGACCTGCATGTTGACCGGAGAAAAAGGTCCTCCAATGCCACTTGGAGAAAGCGAAGAAAAGGAAATCGTCCAAGCGCCCGCAAAACGGTCAACGGGGGAGTCAGGGGCGGCTGCCCTCGGACTCAGTGTCCCCTTGCAAAACACAGGAAATGCTGCATGTGTTTAACCTGAAGCGCTCCGGGCGCTGTGTCTGAAAGAGATGATTCCTGGAAAACGCTGCCAAAGTGCTGATTCTCCGGCTTCTCTCGAACTTCCATCAGGATCTCATCAATGGTGCCTCCATGGCAACAACCGCAAAGAGCGGACCACTCTACACAAACACGATGAGAAACCGTCCAATACCCAGGCCTTCTCAGCTTCCTTTGTCTGACCAAAAAGGTAAAAGCGTGCAAAACCAACCAGGAGTGAACTGAGTGACCCATCTCCTCTTCTCTTGGAGGCCATCGCTACATTGGAGGCCATCTCACCATCTCCACGTGACCGTGACCGAAAGAAGACCGAGGAATCCCGGAAGCCGCCCGAAATGGGCATGGAAAAATACAAGGAAAGGTAAAGGTTGATTGACCTCTTCGCGAAAAAACTGGGCTGCCGCATTGCTGCCTTTGTCTTGTTCATGTTTTCTCTTTCCTTTTCGATTGATTTTCTGATCTGAATGAGCTCACCAGGAGCCCGGGCACTTGGTGGGGAACTCCAGTCACGGAACCCATCCACCAGGTGTTCTCCTCATTCAACAGTTCATTATCCCTGCCGAAACGAAGCCAAAAAACACCTTGTGGCTCGTCTCGCCCGGATCAAGTTGAGTGAATGTTCTTCACTCGTCACCGAACAACGACGCCGCACCTCGCAGCACCGTCTCGTAGCGCTTGGTGAGCTCACCTCGGAATCGTGACCGCAGCTGTCTGCGGCACAGGTTCGAAGCGGTTCGAAGCCTGGAATTCTCGCGGGATGCCATGGAGCTCGAGGTGGAATTGGGAGAGCTTAATTCGGGTCGCCTCTGCAAACAGGACAGGGCATAGTAACATGACGATCATCTCTGGTGCTGGAAACCGACGAATTGCTTTGACGATCATCGATGGGGATGGGCAGATGCAATGAGTAACACGTAGCATCACCTAGCCTCCCCAAGTATTTCTGTTCCAAAGACTACTCTCGCACGTGTGCCGTGCCCGTCGACACCGCCGCAGCTGCTTTCACTGCTGAGGCACGGCACACGGCCAGCTCCCGCGCGTCTTCTGCATCGAGCTCGTCGCGGAGCATCTCCAAGGTGTTCCTCAGAAGGGATTGAAGCCTTTTCCAGAAGGGAACCCCCAGTGCCTGAGCATGGGCTTGTGTGTGTGGGTGATGAGGATTGGCAGTGAATGTTCGCTGGTTTGAACTTTGAATAGATGGGATTGGCACGTTGGTGCACTTTGATCATAGCCTGAACTCGGGAGCAAACGTTGTTCATTTGCGTCAGCTTTGGATGAATGATTATTCTGAACTCGATGCAAGTTGCCACTCCTTGCAGTTGCTCCTTACCAGGGAGACTTTTCACGAATCAGCTCCTTTTACAGGAACAAGTGCATCGCTACTAGTAACAAGTGCCACGCTAGTAGTAACAGGTGCCTTACTAGTAGAAACAAGTGCCACGCTACTAGGAGCAAGTGCCACGCTAGTAGAAACAGAAGCCTGGAAACCACGGGAAACGTACTGCCTGCACTGCTCCAAGCCACAACAGCCGGTGAGGCGCCTCATAAAGCACCAGGGTGCCCGTGGAGGCCTTGTCGGAAACCACTGCGCTTGTCCAGGTTCCCGTATCACAGCTTCCATGATTCAATCATGTAAGCAATTATTCTTGCAATTCTAATTTCTTCTTGTTTCCAATAGCTTCTTGTTACTACTAGTAACTAGTAAGGCACTTGTTACTAGAAGCGATGCACTTGTTACTAGTAGCTTATAAGCAATTCTATTTTGTTTTAAGCATTCGTCACTATATAAACGTTCCTTCCTGGATCATGTTTAACGTTCGTCACAAAAAAAAAAAACAAAACTGCAAACCTTCCATTCGACACCCAAAAAATGAACCTCGTTCTTCCACCCTCCAACCTTCCCCCCCCCAAACGGAACCTCATCTCCAACGAACCCCCTCCCGCAGCTCAGCGCGCGAAGGCCCCGGCGCCTGCCGCAGAAGGCTCCGCAGCTCAGCGAGCCGCGCGGCGCCGCCGCTCGGCAGAAAGCCCCCGAAGAGGACGCCTCGGCATACTGCGCCGAGGCGTCGACGAAGTACGGAGGGGGAAAGACGGAGGTTCCAACGGTTCCGGAGATTGGAGGGTTGTTTCATGTCGTTTCCGAATTCCATTAACAATTCAAACAATTCAATTCCTACTAGCGATGGCCCTGCGGCCTAACTGGCGATGGCCTCCAAGGGTTGTTCCGCAAATGATCTTGGGACTTAACCTTGTGACGCAGTCGGGCCCCACACTCCTACTGGACTTACTGGTTTGGTGTCCCGGGAGTTGCTTGGCGTTTGGTGCCGTTTTGGTGGTGTAGTCCAGTGGTCATGGTCCTTTTCGGCCTTGGTGGTTGAGGGTATCAAGAGGCCACGTACCCAGCCACATGGCCAGTGAAGTAGAGGTTGGACGTCCTGGTGTACGTGGCCAAACACCACCAAAGCGCAAAAACAAATCATGTAAACCAGTTCCAACTATAAACCCATCAAGACACATCACAGAAAACCCGAGTCCAGCATCACAAAACTGCAAGTAAATTCACTGTTAATTGAATTCCACTTGGACACAACCATGCGAATCGGCATGCGAAACCAATTTCCAGCCCAACACCCCGTGCAACCCCGATGGCCGCCGCGTGACGGCTACACGGCAGCCCCGCCACGCTCAGCGCGGCGGCCAGCGCGCAGCAGCCCGGCACACTGCGCACGGGCACCTGCGGAGCACCTGGCAGTTCTGCGCACGGGGCGGTCGGCTCCTGGCCTTACTACTAGGAGCCAATACTAAGGGCATCGCTACTAGGAGCATTCTTACTACTAGCGGCTCCTGGCATCACTACGAATGGAGCAAGGATGCCAGTGGGTCTGGTGCACCTGTTTGTTCAGCTGTGCAGCTGTTTGGCGGTGGAGGGGAGGCCTTTCGAAGATTTGGACTCACATATTGGGTGACACCCTGGACCACCAAGTAGGGGTCAAAAATGGGCACTCCTTTCCCGAACAGCTTTCACCAGGTCGGTGATCGGCACGCCAACAAGGTGGCGAGGCTGGAGCGATCGGACGCTACGAACGGGGCGAAACTGGCCGTACTAGGAACGGAGCATCCTTACTACTAGGAGCGAGAAGCTACCAGGAACCAAGGGCATCGCTTCTAGTAACAAGTGCCTTACTAGTAGCAACAAGGACGCTACTAGGAACCAAGGGCATCGCTACGAACGGAGCAAGAAGCTGTGCGAGGCTCCCCCGGTGTGTTCTTCGAAGCTGATTCGGGTTGGAGATGGAGAGCTCGACGGATCCCCACCAATGACGCTCGGTGAACCATGTGACATGTCACCCCAAATCTCAACATCCCGTTCGCCCCAGTGAGTGTGGGCTCTATGTTTTTCTAAGATAGAACCCCAACAGCTCAACTGTTTGGGGAAAAAATCCACTTGAGAACCCCACTGACGTCACCGCTGACGTCTCCGCTGACCTCCTTTGGCCTTGACGTCGCCGCCGCCCAACGCTGACGCACTCGCCTTGACGCACCGCGCGGACCACCGCGTAGCCCGGGTCCGAGATCAAGGGCGTCCCAGCGTCCGAGACCAGCGCCGCGCACCTGGAGGACGCGTCGCCGACGAAGACGACGAAGAGCGTCCGATCGCTCCGTTCGTAGCATCCTTGTTCCTAGTAGTAATGCCAGGAGCGACCCTAGTAGTGTCCGATCGCTCCGTTCGTATAGCGATGCCCTTGTTCCTAGTAGCATCTAGTAGCTATTTGCTACTGTCTTGTGGTGATCAAATGTCATCTACATTCATCTATCAGACTTACAAGAGATGGGTCAGTAGGAGAGGGGCAAAAAATCACGGGTGGAGAACGAATGCAGCCGCGAGATAAACCATTATGGCACGGGGGCTGCCCCGCCAAAAATATGTGAAAGAAAAGAGTGGAACGAGGTTTCGTTCCAAAGAAATGCCGTCAACATGAGTGGTTTCGTCCTCAAAATAGAGGTCGTGAAGTTTCACAGGTTCCGTGCAACAGACAGTTTCATTGGCTCAAAAACGAATCAGACTCAAACAATTAAAGCCCCATGGCCATAAACCCACAAAACCAAGACCGGGCGTCCTGAACCAACCGAGGTTGGTTCGTCCTGTCCAAGGCCGTTTGGCCGTCCTTCCATCCAAGCGACTGGTTGTCACGAAGCTTCCGCAGAAGGCTTTGTCCTGCTTGCTCCTGGCATGGAAAACAAAAGGATACAAAGGAAGAAGGCTTCTCTGATTTCACTCCAAAGTGGATATAGATCCCCTGTACGTCGAAGTCCACAAAAAATGTCTGGAGATCTCAGCATGATGGATGTTTTGATGGATCGCTACCAGTACTGAATCCCAAAAGATTGAAGGGCGCCCGACACCCAACAGGAGGATTTGAGAAGCTCCCCTACAGGTTATCTGCTCGAATTGGTCGCAAACCTCTTATCAACGGTTCAATGCGGACGTGTTATCCAGAAACCCGCCAGAGACCACCCTTTAGCCTAGCCATACCGCTGGCACCTCGTTGAAGGCGTGGCATGGCAGCAGAAGTCGTTGGTTCAACTGAATGCCCAAGCGCGACAGCAGCAAACCAGTGGTCCTGCGAAGCGTGCGTTGGCCGGCTGCCAGGAAACCAAAGAAACTGCATCCTGTGAATCTCTCGGATTGGAACCCTTTATGATGGACGCTACTAGGAGCAAAGGGCATCGCTACTAGGAGCAAGGACGCTACTAGGGGCTCCTGGCCTTGACCTTTTTGGTGAACGCAGAAAAGGTGTCCCATCCCAAGAGACACCTCGCACCTCGTATCCTCTGCGAAGATCACATCGACCTCCAGCGGATGTAAAAAACTCGCCGTTCGTCCGTTCCCCGCGAAACACTAAGTCTTTGCTATTAGGTTGGAGGCCATCAATGGTAGGTTGGAGGCCATCGTTTCTAGCTACAGTAGGGGGGGGTTGATTCTTTTTGAAAGGTCTCAAGTCTTTGCTTTTCTCCTTCTTCGTCCATGAGTCGTCAAGATTCTTCACCCCCGCATGTATCAATTGAGGAAGATATCGATTGTAGACTTGGCCACAAAAAAAATGATGTTAATCGAGGTTTGACCAACAGTCCGGTGCTAGGTTCATGGTTGGGAGTGGAGAAACTCCTGCAAACCTTTGGATGAGCAAGCTGCCAGCTGCAGCTGCCAGCCTCCCGCAGGACTTGCAAAGCTCTCAGGGTGATGTCGCTCAGATTTCCAATAGGCCTGACAGCTGACGCAGTCCAAGGAAAACCCAGTGGCGGGTGCCAAAACACTCCTTTGAGGGCGGCCACCATGTTCGAATCCTCATGCCTCATGCCGCTACCGGTAATCAACAGCATTCGCGTATTGAACATATATTCCTTTGCTACTAACAAGCATCGCTACAAACGTAGCTCAAGGGCAACAAACGAGTCCGCTGAGTAGCGGCTGATAGCTACGAGCCCGTCACGTTCGGGGTTCGTGTTCGTTTTCGCTCCGATGTTACCAGTCCACTCCACCCGTCGCACACGGACACCACGGACACGCACACGCAGCGGTTTGCACGTCGATCCGCCGCTGGCCACGCGGTTTGGGCGGGTCGTCGGCTGGTCTCCAGCTGTGCCACGTGGAAAAAGCCCCCAAAAAAACACCACAGAAACACCTTCTCGAAAGTAACGAAAGCACCAGAAATAAGGACGCTACTGGGGGCTCCTGGCCGTACTACGAACGGAACAAGAACGCTACGAACGGAATAAGGCAGTTCTCGAAACACTCGGAACCACCGAAGCACCCGACATCCGTTGATCCCGTGTAACGCGTGCGAAGACGAGAACGCGAGTCCGGCCAACGCGATGGCTCGGAACCGGGTGTTCCGCACGTGGCCACCATGTAAAGCGCAGGCCGCTCCAGCTCGATCTCCTCAAATCGACTCAGGATCAGTTCAAATACGAAAAACCCCGAAAATCCAGCTGTGCATCTTCCTCTGCTGTTCGTGAGCGTATCGAAAGAGAGAGAGAGAGTTTTTGGTACATCTTTCTTAGCATTGAATGCTGCTATGGTGATCTTCATGTGTCATGTTTCCTAAAGCCCCCCTAAATAGACTCCTGGAAGCCCTACAGAAGCGAACAGCTCGAGGATCGAACTCGAGAACTCGGACGTTTTGGAAATGCCAACAGCCCAAACGTGGTGTCCCTCTTGTTGTAATGTCCCTCTTGTTTTCCTAAGGGTGTGGGCCTTTGCTCTTTGGTTTTTTGTGATGTAGACATGAAACAGTAAGGAGGTTCCTAGCGAGTTGGATGTATGATGTATCTCTCCTAGCTTGGCAAAGGAAACAAGACGGCACCCAGGCCTTAGGATCGTGTTTCAAAAGATACAAAGATCTGCAAACAAGCGGCAGAATCGAAACCAAGATGTACCCATAAATGAAGCAGTTGCTGTGACCAACATGTCTCAGACAAGCTCCACCGGTGAATCCAAAAGCCAGATCTGAAAGGTTCATCCAACGAAGCTTGAGAATCCCGTCGAAAGCCCAACGAAACAACCAACCGCGGGCCGCGGGATGTCCACCCGTTCACCTCGAAAGTGAGGAAAGACGCAGGGCAGGAAGATTCCGGGCAAGTGATACCTAGAGGTATTACTTGCTACTAGGAGCAAGGACGCTACTGGGGGCTCCTGGCCACACTACTAGGAGCAAGGACGCTACTAGGTGCTCCTGCCCTCACTACTAGGAGCAAGGACGCTACTAGGAGCTCCTGGCCTCACAACTAGGAGCGATCAGACGCTACGAACAAGGCTCCTGGCATCGCTACTAGGAGCAAGGACGCTACTACCGACCACCTTGGTCTTTCCTCACGCATGAAGCACATCGAGTTGACCGCTTTTTCGAGTGGCGCGTCGCTGGCCACGTCCTGAAACGACCGCGTTCCTCACGACCGCGCGTCCTCAACGTCGACCAGCTTGGACCGGGCGCCGGAGGCCGGCCTGGAGCGACTCCGCGTTCGGTCTGAAGCAGCAAGGACTCGGAATCGGCTGATGTTTAGATTCAAATGTTTAGGACTCGGAATCTCTGCAATACTCGGAATGGAGAGCGGCAGTTTGCAGATGTTTAGTCTTTTGGGGTATATAGGACAAAGGCGGCCATAAGACGGCTCATTCATCCAAACACGCCCAGGTTTGCACAACAAGCAAATCGTCTCCAACCAACCAGTGCGCCACCTACCCCCCACGTCTCCAACAAAAAGCTCACGCTGCGCCTCAAGGAGCGACGACCGTGGCCACGTCTCCGCCCTCGGTGCACCGCTTCGCCGTCTCGGCGAAGCGAGAAGGGAAGTCACGGGAAGCGGGTCTCCTGCCGAGTGGGTCTCGGAGAGAAGTGCTCTCCTCCCGATTGTTGGAGGTCGGTTGGTTGTTTTTTGCTTGTAGCTTAACCTCCTAATACCTAATTAAGTAGGCACCTACTGAATGAAGTAAGGGAATAAACACGCTTCGAGCAATTGGACGCAGAGCTCGCGCCGAGCGACGGCGCCGTGGCGGACGCGCGGACGAAGCGACAGCGCGACCGCGCCGACGAAGCGATGCTCCGATGGGGCTTCTCATGGGCTGGGGCTTCTGATCTGCAAATGACAAGTGGCACTGGTTTGCTAAGGAATATATCAACTTCTCTGGTTTGTCAACCCAGTGTAGATGCACAAGGCACAAGGCCATCTGCCAAGTCTTAGGTGGATTGAGTTCGCCACGGCCGGAATAGCTTTGAGCACATGGCTTTCTCCAGTCATATTTCAGGGTGATGCTCGGACCCCGTAAATCGGCACGCGCGTTTAGCAATCGCCACGAAAACCGGTGGATTGTGCAATTGTTATTCTTTTTTGGATCCCCAAGATTGGTCAAGCACGCTTTGTACTATATATTGTTATATTATTGTTCAACAGGAACATACCAGCACATCAAGAGGGTTTTCCGAACCTCTGACTTCTCCGAAAAGAGAAGACTGTTTCGGGACCGAAGACTGTTTCGGGTAAAATGTGTTCATGCTGTGACCACCTGAGATTCTCCGCTCGAGCTGTGTGTATCCGCTCTGCCTCTGGGCAGCCCGGCGCTCGCAGCGCCGGAAGGCACCACAAAGCCTGGCCGCGTGCGCACGGAAAAGAAGATGACCGGCTGAATCATGGCGCTGATTCTGGCGCTGTTGGGAAGTTGGAGAGACCACTCTTGGAACCAGAGCTTCCTTTGGTGCTTCGCATAGCCGCGCTTGGTGCACCGAGGAGCCGCACACGTTCACCACCCGAACTGGTCCACCCACGGCATCGCCAGCGCGGCCTGTGACCCACGGCGCTCACGGGAACCACGGCGCTGCACCACGGCGCGTGCCGGCGCCCCACTCGGACCCGCGGCGGTCGCGCCACCGCGAGACCGGCCGCGGCGGGTCTCGCGGTGCATGGCACGGCACATGGCGCCAGTGGCATGGGAGGAATTGGGAGGACACAAGGCTGGGAACGTGGACCTTCAAGTAAGAATAGTAAAACCGTCTTCTTTTGAGTTACTAAGAGCGATGGCCTCCAACTAATTGTCATGGCCTCCATCCTAATAGCATCTAGATTTGTGGATGAGTCATCTCCAAACGAATCACCTGGTTCTTCAGTTCAATGACTTTGGAGCAACGAAGACTTTGGAGCAACGAATGCATCTTCATGCATCTTCATGTCAGCTCGAATGGTGAAGCTCTTCGGCTTGCCGGTCTTTCTACTCAATCCAGTCCCGCTGAGCTGGTGTCCTCCTGACTTTGGGAGCCAACTGAAAGACCAGATGCTGACAGAAAGACCATGAAAAACATGCTGTTGTCAGCTTCCGAAGCAGCGAAACAGGTCTTTCCATCAAGGCGAAAATCATCACTCAAAGGCACGTGGGATGCCCAAAAGCACCAACAGCCCAGAGTGCAGAGCAGTGGGTGACCATCACATCCGGTGCTCAAAAAAAAGGGTGTTTGGAAGTGTGAAACTTTGTGGGGAAACTCGAACATCCTGAAAACGTTGTGCAAAAAGGGACAGAACACGTTTCGACTGCTCGTCAGAGGTCGCGAACTCCAAAGACCAGGGGCTTTGTTTCGAGCAAGGATGACGGAACCACTTCGCTTCGCACCACGAGTGCGGTTTTCACCCAACACTGCGCGTTTTGGGCACATGAACCATCCTACGAGTCGTCCACTCCACGGGTCGTATCATAGAAGGACTCTTGTTTTTACAGGTCGTGACGAAAAGCACATGCAACAGACAGGGCATCCTGGCCACTTCCGAATGGACTCGATGGAAGATGATCTTCCACTGATAACCAGTGGTGACATCGAAGTCTAACTAGGAGCAAGAACGCTACTAGTAGCTGGCATTTCTACTAGTAACAAGAGGACGCGAACCGAACGTAAAAAAAAACGGGCATCGCGACTCGACCGGAGCAAGGGACGATACTACGACACGAACGCTATCATAACTGGTCAAATCTCAAGTAGCGAGAACTGGTCTCAGACTGTCCAACTTCTCCCTCTGGATCTCCATACACCTGGAGGCACCGCACGAGGCGGCCGCGCGAGGCGGCTCACTCCAGGAACTCAAAAATATGTGCAATTTACTGGAACCTTTTCAGTGGAACTCTCCAAATGGCCCTCCAGACATGGAAAAACTTGAACATGCAAACTCCAAGTCTTTGTTTTCATGCGGGTTTGTTACAGTAAGCACCATATCAAGCAGAACTCAAGCTGATGGAGTCTGCCGTAGCACCTCCTGCTCAGAAACGGACAAGCCTCTGTTCCGCGCGGTTGTTGCTCGAGTAGAGTTTGAAGAAGTAGATTTCAGGGTGCCGTGAAGACAAGCGATGAATTCGATTCAGTGCTTGTTCTTCAGTCCTCAAAGCAGCTACACTCAGCAATAAATTCTCGTACAGAGGAGGTTTTTGGCCTTTGCTGAACATCAGCGTGGCATTTCTTCCCGCCAAGCCGCGCGGCGTTCCACCAGCAATCGACAAGCACGGCCACTTTGGCACCTTGCAAATTGATGCCTGCACGCAGAGTCGGAGCACTCCAAACGCTTTTCCCCGAAACAGTGGGTTGGAGGTTGGAGGTTGGAGGTTGGAGGCCATCGCTAGTAGGTTGGAGGCCATCGCTCTTAGGTTGGATGGAGGCCATCGCTAGTAGGTTGGAGGCCATCGCTCTTAGGTTGGATGGAGGCCATCGCTAGTAGGTTGGAGGTTGGAGGCCATCGCTAGTAGGTTGGAGGTTGGAGGCCATCGCTCTTAAATTGGATGGAGGCCATCGCTAGTAGGTTGGAGGTTGGAGGCCATCGCTAGTAGGTTGGAGGCCATCGCTCTTGGGTTGAAGGCCGTCGCTCTTAGGTTGGATGGAGGCCATCGCTAGTAGGTTGGAGGTTGGAGGCCATCGCTAGTAGGTGGGAGGCCATCACCACTAGGGTGGCCGACTCAAGGCCAAGATGAGGGAGTTAGTGGTGCCTCACGAATCCAGACACATGCGAAGGCCCAAAGAAGTCGGATTTGAACGAAAAAAAGGGCTGGATTTGTTTCAAAGAAATGCTGCCTCCAACCTACTAGCTTCTTGCTACTAGTAGTAATGGCCTCCAACCTACTAACGATGGCCTCCACCCTACTAGCAATGGCCTCGTTCCTACTGAGGTCCACCTCGCTAGGATGGTGTGATGAAGATGGTTTTTGTTCTCTCAGACCTTCCAGAAATCGTCCACCTCGACGAAGTCCCCAACAAAATCATACAAAATCCCATGCGCGCAAAGCGAAACGAAAAGCATGACGTCGAAAAGCATGCAATCTCGGAGAAATAGACCCGGACCACACAGGTGGACCAACATGTGTCTTTCAGGTTTATGTCGGCTTCCCAAACAAAGCGTCAAGCTGCTGACCCGGGCGTTAAATGGCCTCCAACCTAGAACGTCCTTGCTCCTAGTAACGATGCCCTTTGTTCCTAGTAGCTTCTTGCTCCTAGTAGTATGGCCAGGAGCCCCTAGTAGCGTCCTTGCTCCTGGTAGCGATGGCCTCGAAATGGTTTGTTCATGTTTGTTCCATGTTTTCCTGTTTTGAGGCTCCCCCTCATGAACGGGAGTGCACGCTACGCGCTTGTGGCAACTCTCCACCATGAGCAAACCAAATATTCTTCAAAATATCAACCAAATGATGACGTTGGATATAAACCCATCCTTACAAAGGAGCACATATTCATGAAGGACATTCCTGCTCCACAACAACTTCCACATTCTCTGTACTGCACAAGGCACATTCATTCGCATCATATTGCTTGCAACATACATCTACAAAGATTGTAAAAACTCCTGCGCCCCCCCCAGGAACCGTCACTTCCCACTGGCTCTCCCCGGTCACCTCCCACCTGTCCCTCCACATTTCATGCCCAACAGCATCGCTGTCACTGTTGGGTCGGTGTTGAAGCTATCGATGAGACGATCGCGGTGCTCACCCGGCGGGGTGGACTGATCGATGCGGCACCACCTCGGACGAGACGATGAGACGATCGCGAGCGGAGCTCCGACTCCCAGGTGCAGGATCCTGTCACTTCTTGGCTGGATCGGTGTTCCTTTTTCTGATCAAAAGACACGCAGAACCAAAAGGGACCTATAAAAGCTACTAGGAACAAGTGCATCGCTACTAGGAGCAAGGGCCTTACTAGTGAAACAAGAAGCCACTAGGCACTATGAAGCTATTAATTTAAACTTAATTTAATTCTAATAGCGAACTTTGTTACTACTAGTAAGGCACCTGTGACTGTTAGCGTGGCACTTGTTACTACTTCATCCAAATGGTGCACCCTCGAAAGTGACTTCACCGCACCGGCCGGGTTCACGCGCGTCCTCACGCGCGTCACCGGGCGCGGACCCGGCGCGGTTCGGCGGAGAAAAACGACCTTCGGCCGCGGTCGTCGGTCGATGCGGTAAACTCCGCCGGCAACGGTGGGACGGTTTTCTCAGGTTCGCTATTAGGAGCAAGGACGCTACTAGGGGCTCCTGGCCTTGCTACTAGGAGCAAGAAGCTACTAGGAACAAAGGGCATCGCTACGAACGGAGCGATCGGACGCTACTGGCACCTCTCAGGTTCTTGGACGATGAGAAAAGACGACGTCTTTTTGCGGTCGATGACGAAGGTTTTTTCTCATCCAAGGTTGGATGATGATTGGATCGATGTTTCGGTCCAATTCTTGAAGGTGTCCACCGAAATCGCGTCGTTTGGGGAACCACCCGGTAGCCCACGTCGTTTTCTTCAGGGTTCTGTGCCCACCGCCGGGGGGAACCTGAACCAGCGCGCTGAACGCCATGATCGGTGCCGAAGCACGTTCGATTCATCTGACTTAGCATCCTCTCGAGCAGTTCAAAGGTTCGGGTTGAAAGCCGGGAGATGAGCACGACTTTGGTGTTCCTCAGATGAAAAGCCAGTCGAATCATGTGGAGTCAAGCGGCTGCCGATTGAAAACAGGAAGCGGACAATCGAGGAACCAAAAAAAGTCATCACAAGCTTGCAAACTCTGTTGACACTTGAGACTCTGCAAGGGTGTCCAACCGACTCTCGCACACTTCTTCAAAATGAATCTATACATAAAGTGAGTTGGAAAGTCATGAATATATGGATCGGCTGGAGTGTCCCTCAGTACAAAGACATGCCAATACCCTTCCAAAGCCCTACCAAAAACACTTTTGATCTACTTTTTGATGATCCAAAGATCCACCCTGATCATTAAAGGAAACCCATGTTGGGAACTCTTCCACTCAATCATGCATGGTCATATCACAGTATGCTCTTGTGCAAAATCGGAGGTCGAGAATCTCATCTGTCTCCAAGGTCCTGGTCTCTTTGCTTGAGTCCCATGGCCACACGCCTGCAGACTTGCTCTCCTTCACGTTGCACTCCTCACAGATCACGGTGGACCCAAATCACCACGTGAACAAGATGGTGGGATGGTGCCCTCGGAAGAACAGAACACTTCCTCGGTTGGCTCCAGTGGTTCGGGTGGTGAGCCAACGATTCGATGGAAGTGTCCGTCTCATGAAGAGCAAGCTCTCCAAACACCCCAAATGATTCTTGATCCACTGCCACATGGAGACTCATCTCAACAAAACCACCGTGGCACCAACCACCCAAACACCAAGTGTCAGCCACCATGGAACGCCGCCCCACTCGCCGCGCACCGCACGACCCGTTGGGATCCAAAACGCAATTTCAACTTGGTCAACTTCGGAGCGCCGTGACCAAATCTTCTCCAGAAGCTCTCTCACAGCCTTCCACTTGCCTCAGACAGAGAATTCATGAGGCTTAAAGCGGTTCCTGAAAACTGGGCATGGCAGAAAAGCTGTTCTTCTTCACTCGCGGAGGGTCAAATCTGTTGAGATCAGCCTAAACCCTCCTGTAGCGCTAGTGCCAAAGTCCAAATGCAGGAAGAAAAAAAACAAGAGAGTGCGTCTGCACAGGGGGCCGGTAAAT